CGGCGCCCCCTAGAGGCGCGGCCGCCCCGTGGGCGCCGCAGCGCCGCAAGCGCACGTCGTTCAGCCCCGAGCAGCTGCAGCTGCTGGAGCTCGTCTTCCGCCGCACCAGGTACCCAGACATCCAGCTGCGCGAGCGCCTGGCCGCGCTCACCCTGCTCCCCGAGTCCAGGATCCAGGTGAGCGGCCGGGGCGGGAGCCCCGTCCCTGCAGCGGAATGGCGCGGCAACCCCACGCCCGCCGCTGGGAGGCTTTTTAAGTAGTTCTGCATGCGTGCATGCAGAACTGGGGTGCAGGCCAGAGGTGCGGGGATGCGAGGACTCCCCGGAGACAGCGCGGGGAGCAGAACAGGCGGATGGTCTGAAGCACACTGTGAGGGGAGCAGCGGGGAGACAGGAGGGGTCCGCCGTGCCCTGTGGTCACTCCCTGGCCGGGGGTCGGACTCGCGCTGCAGGGGCCGCGGGCAGCTTCGTAATGCTGCGCTCTAACCCGTTGAGTCACCAGGGAGGGCGCCGGCTGGGAGGAACTGTGCCAGCATGGATTATACCCATGAGCAGGCAGGCACCCTAAGGAAGCATAAAAGTACCAAGCACCCCAGGTGTCCCAGGATACTTTAGGGGACATAAAACCACCTGCAGTCAGGTCACTCACACAGAATGGGATTCTCTGTCTGTGCTAAGAAGATGACTTTCATGAAACAAATGCATCACAGATTAAATTGTACCATTTGAGTCCTCAGCGAATGGTCTCCTGGTGGGGGAGAGCCGGCTGGTGCCCTACAACGGTCACTTTGAACCCTGAGCAGGGAGGTGGTGGGGAGCAGCGTCCCCCGCACTCCTGGGCCGGCAGAGAGGGGTGAGCAGCTGGGTCCCTTCGGCCTGAGCCCGTCGCTGACTTTCTTGGCAGCTACTGGGTGTGCAGTTCTGGTTTGAAAGGTGTCCTGTAGCTTTTGGGGGTGAAGCCTGGCGTGGATGGAGCTTCTTGGCACTGTTTGAAAAATCTGTCATAAAGTGCGTTGATTGAAACATTTTCCATGAGACTGTTGGGACTTGGTGCGCACGAGGACTCTGCCTTCTTGTTGCGGTTCCGCCACACCTGGCCTCACCCAGCGGTGGTTTAAGCAGGAACCCTCATTTTAACAGTGGGAGTGGGCTTGTTTCTGCACCCCTGCTGGGAGACATAGGCCGGCTCAACGGCTGGCATTACAGGCTTCCTCAGGGAGGAGACCTCAGGATCTGTGAGAAGTCAGTCGTGAGCAGAGCAATTTATTCACAGAAGTGAAATCCATTGAGCAGGATACATCCTTGGTTAACCTGACCCGTGCAAGAAGGAGTTTCCTAGGTTATTCTAATGCCTGTCATCTCTACAGAGTAGCCTTTCCCCCTAAAATTCTAAGTGTGTCTGTTCTTGTGACCCCGCTTCTCACGGCATCTGACCCTAGGTAACACCTCGATAGATTGAAGCGTTATTCCAACTTCGCATCTGGGAATGGCGAGACTGCATCGCAGGTCGCCAGGGGCAGAGCAAGCCCCAGCCCACGTACTTTCTGGAAAGCCAAGGGTCTGGGGCAGGGCGCCAGTTACCGTAAACTGCAAAGGCAGTAACAGCACCAGGACCATACCCAAAGCAGCTTTCCTTTCTTCCAGGTGTGGTTCCAGAACAGGCGTGCCAAGTCGCGGCGGCAGAGCGGGAAATCTTTCCAGCCCCCGGCGGGCTCAGCGCTGCTCCTCCAGCCCTCTGCCCTCGGGACTGGGCCCCAGCGGCCCCTTGAGGTGGATATGAGCTGCCTGCCTGAGCCTGATCCCTCCGGGACCAGAGGGGCCATCTCTGACCCCAGCTCTCAAGGTCAGGATTTTGAAAACTATTCTCTTCTCTCAGAAGACATTGGTTCAAAGCTGGACTCATGGGAGGAACACATTTTTTCTGCTTTTGGTAACGCTTGAGAATTCTGGGAGAATTCAGAAAAGCTCAGAGAAGGCATGACTGGCATCCAGGGAGACACCCCCCAGACACTGCCCTTTCTGACGTCCGTGCTAAGCACACGGTTGTATTAGCCTGGATGGTGGTTTTGAACGTCATCTCTCACCCGCAGAGCTTCCTCCCTTCACCTGTGAGCGTTTATCCACCCGGCACACAGGCCGGCCCCGAGGTGAGGCGTGCTGGCATTCATCGCTACCTGTGTATCTCCGAGTTTACACGTCCAATTTGGCCCGAAGCCGTGCCCCTTTTGCTAGTTTTGTTCAGATTTTTTGAACTGGTTTCTCAGAACTCATTGTCTTCTTCACAAGAACGCTCAGCCTGACTCAGTTTCTCCTTGTGCTTGATAGTTGTCATCTTCTCATGGTTCCTCCAAGGCTTAAACCTTACCGGAAGGCTTAAACTCACTCTGGTCTGGCTCCCTCAACCCTCATCCGACCACCAAGATGTACTTTTAAGATCTGGCCGTCATCTCTACAGCCATTCATAGTTCTAAAGATTCTGTGTCCAGAATTTCAAGAGCTACCTGCTTCTAGCTTTTCAACTTAAAAAAAATAATAACTTTTTTGAAATCTGTAGTAGCTTCAAACTGCTACCAAATTCTAAAACTCTTTCAGCTACTATTCCAGATACGGATACCCATGGCTTACAGGCCAGACCGTGTACGGTCACCCATGCAACATATGCCGACCTCAGAGCCAGTCTTCAATCCTGGGACATGTCTCTTTCAAAAATCCCTTTCTGAACTTTTAGTCCTGATTTTGTACCTGTTGTTTCAACCAACCACTCAGTTACCCTTAGCACTTGTTTGTACTTCTGTACAATTTAGTGGATTATTAAATGTTTTCCACAAATGTTTCACTGTAGTGCTGCTTAAATGAATTTTCTCCCTTGGACAGCTCTTACCAGAGTGCTTTACTCCGCGACTGCTCAGGTCATACTGTGTGGCAATGAAGGGCATTTCTAAAAGAGAAAAGTTTCTGTAAATGAAGGTGATAGCCAGCAATCACATCAACAGGCCTCTGTGCTGAGAAATTTAACACTTAAAAGCCTCTTCGCTTGTTTGAAATTCAGGAACATGAGTCTTTTGGTTTCAGGAGATTTCTCTTTCTCCATTTATATACTAAGCACCATGTAAATTGCCCTTTCTAGGTTAGCCTGAGAGAAATTAAAGTTTTGTTTTACATTGAGGGTTTTCAAACCCATGTTGGCCACAGGAAACCATGGGAGAGGTTTCTTTGTAAAGTATATTTTAGAGATTTGTGAGCAACCATGGGTAGGGCTGGGAACTCATGTCTTACTGTTACTAGAAGAGACTGAGCTATGCTGAATGTCCCCGAGATTATACATGCAGGTCACCCTGCTTTTCAGAAGTGTCTGTCAAGTGGCTTCCATTCTTCACTTAGCAAATCCATTGTTAAAAGCAACTAGGACGTAATTTGGACTTTAGGAGACTTGACTTCTGAATCCTTGAAACCGGTCTGAAACCCAAAACCAAGATGATAAACTTAGCTACAAGTGCTTGGTGTGTGCTCAACATTGTTCTCAGGGCCTGTTGTGGGGTAACCGGGCCTCACAATTTCACTCAGCGCACCCTTATGCACCACCCCGCAGTGGGTCAGGCTACGACCTGGCATTTCAGCCGGCCTGAGGGCAGTGGTAACAGTGAAGACGGAGAAAGGCACATGAATTCAGAAGAAAAAAATTAACAGGTAAGTCTTTGGGTAGATCATTATTGGCAAGAATCACTAGAATCTGAATTTTGCAACTAACAAAATAATTCAGAAATAAATCTGCACAACGCCTGTTGTGGTGCAGGCTTACTTCATCTGGCTTCGGCAGCTTTCTTGGGACTCAAAATTATGTTAAGCAGTGACACTGTCACGCTACGTGCAGCTGACAGAGTGACTCACTGGAGCGGCAGATTTCTTTTTCTCTGAAGAGAAGCTTCAAGTATACCCTCGGGTACCGCTCCTGCTGTCCACACAAGGCGGCACGGAGAGGCGTGAGTGGCGCTGGCCAGCCAAGCAAGGCACGATTTCAGTGCACCTCGCGGAGACATCTGACAACAAAACGTCAAAAATGTGTAGGGTAAGCTAGGTGACTTAGGAGTGTCTAGTGTTCTCCACGATGACTGAGAACTCAGAGTTGGGGAAAAAAACTCTAAAATGTTGGTATTATAATTTGAAATGACATGGTAATTAATCTCCACTGATCCCCTCAACATGATTTCGAGGAAGTTACAATTCCTTCAATTTTCTTTCTTTTTTTTAAAAAAGATTTATGTATGCATACAAGAACTGGGGTGTAGGCCAGAGGTGTGGGGGGGTGAGAGGACTCCCCAGAGACAGAGGGGGAGTGGGGCGGACCAGGCAGGGTGACTGAAATCCCCTGCTGAGGGGGGCAGCGGGAGACAGGCGGGGCCCTCCCAGTTGCACCAGCGGGGAGGGCCTGGGGAGGCCTGAATTTAAAATGTATCAACAGATGGAACACTGATCAAGTTGTATTAACTGAAAATGTAGACAACATTAATTTTCATAGATCAATTTATTCAGAATTACAAATATTAAGAATAAAAGATTTATGCATTTCTTAATTAACATAACAGTTTAGCTAAATATAAACTCTGCACTAAAGTCTTGCATTCGCACAATACCAACAAAGAATACGGAAGCATTTTTAAACTATACAAAATTTCAAATGGAAAATAATCTTGTTTTCGGTTTTATGATACATTAACATATAAAAAGCCTCATTTTATGAGACGGCCGAAAGAATCTAAGCCACTTCTATATTTTAACTCCAAATCTGAAAACAATTTATTATATTTTGACTTTATAATATTCTATAATAAAACAAAGAAAATTCCAAATGTACACTTTTTACAAGATTAACATTTCAGGCAGGGTTCCCTTTAAAGAAAAAACAAACCATAAACAAACCCATAACCAATTAAAACCTTCTTTCTGCATTTCACAGCACGGGTTATTATATTTTTTCATTATAAAATATTTTTACTTTATAAATTGTGTTCTGTTGAATTTTAACCAGTAACCTGGTTCAAAAGTTGTGCAAATAAACAAAAAATATGAAAATAGTGTGTTATCAGTCTTTTAAAAATAAATCTCATTACAGTAGCACTTTTGTCCTGAATTGATGGGAAAAGATGCCAAACTCACTGGCTGAAACAGCACTGCAGAAATGGTTTTTTCCTGCTCCTTCATTTTCTTTCAACAGACAAACAACAAAGGTTTCTTTTATAAATTATGATAAATTAAAATATTATTATAAAATGCTCTATGGAGCATGTCGCGCTTAAGTCTATTTGCCTTCTATACTGTGCAGCCCCCATCTACGGCCTGTGTCCCGGCGGCTTCCCCAGCGCTGGCGCCCACGTCCGATGGCTTCGTGCAGGCGGAGACGACCGCGTAAGCCAGAGCCGCCACTTTCTAGGCGGCATCTCCACACCGCCAGGCACCTTCACACTGCCCGCACCCTCGTCGCGGGGCCGCCCGCGTGCGCTGCCCCCGCTCCTGCACACTGAGAGACGGTCGGCGCTGTCTCCCGTGACCCGGTGCTCAGACATCTGCAGTTTGAAACTCTGGCTAATAAACACATGACATAAGCATGCTACTGCAGCTCAGTTATAAAAAGAAAAGTAAACATGACGCCGATGAGCAATGCTGGCTTAGGAAGCGGTGCAGTATATGAACGACTACTCTGGAGGGTTAAGCCTTGTTTTCCAGCAGTTAGGTTATCTGGTGTTGGAAGCCTATATGAAGGGAAAGGATGTCTCAAAAACAATGCTCTATGCCGTCGGAATAATTAAATCTTCTACTCAGTCTCTGTTGGTATTATTTGCTGCAAAGGCGTGTAAGTTTCCCATCTGGCTCAGGCCACTCTGAATATGTGCAACATGGATTTCTACATTATTCTGAAAGCAACTGAAAAAAGAACATGGTTAACCACTTTGTTTCACAAAATTAAACAAGCTTTTTAAAAAGGAGATCGGAATTTTAGTTCGGTGATCACTCCTGATGATGTCAGAAATCCCCTAAGTAGTAATTACCTGCGAAGGTACCTCCAGGCTGACTCTGCACTCTGAACCGAAACCTAATACTAAATGTCTTCTCATTCCTTCGTATAAAAAAGTCCACATAAAATTTCTATTCTGCCAGTAGACTGGATATACCTGAAATGCTCTCTCATAATTTATTTAAAAGATAAAAACTTTGTGAATACTTCACAAATATGATTAATTCTAAAAGCCTGTCCTGGAGGGCCCTCCCTGATGGCACAGTGGGTTCAAGTGCAGCGCTGTGAAGCTGGCCGCAGCTGCTTCAACATGAGTCTGATCCCCGGCCAGGGAGCGACCCACAGGGCGCAGCAGACCTCTCCTGTCTCCCCGCTGCTCCCCTCAGCAGTGCGTTTCAGTCAATCCACCTGTTCTGCTCCCCACTCTGTCTCAGGTGACTCCTCTCACCCCCCCCCACCTCTGGCCTGTACCCCAGTTCTGTGTGCATAAATAAATAAATCTTTAAAAAACAAACAAAAAAGCCTGTACTGGAAATCATTATGCATCTAATACAAAGATTGTTAAAATACTTTTTTAATGAGTTACCTGATATTAGATGCATCTATTGTACTCTTGATGTCATTTAATGAATCTGTAAGTGATTTGAATTCAAAGGAATTCAGGTCTCCTCCTTCTGCAAGACACTAAAAGGAAAAACATTTCAAAATTTAATTGAATTAACAGCCCAAATACAGACCAAGATACTTGATATAATCTATGGATTATAATTCTTTAGCAATAAATTAGTGCTAATTGGATTCGAAAGTTAAGAAAATATTTTTGCTGAAATTTACCTTAATTTGTAATAAAATAGCTGTAAGCCTGGAGATTAAGTCTGTCAGATTTTCATTTTCGACACAGGGCTGCCCCGTTGAGGAATTTGCATGCCGAACAATTTCCTGCGCTTCTTCCTCACACCTTCTCCTCATGTCTGTTGGCTGATCCGCAGGCTGGAGCCCCTGGTCTGGAGCAAGCTGGGCACAAGGGTCGAGGCATGAGAACGTGCTCGGAGGCCGGAAAACCTCTGTGCGCTGGGGTTTGTTCACATTTGGATTTTCACAAAACTAGCATTTTTTTTTAAGAGGCTCACCCTTACAATAGAGGTTTCTTCTCCTCTAACAGTCTTTTTAAAGTTTGTTTTACATCTTGACTAACTTTTGAGAAACTTCAAAGTACTAGCAAAAGAATGTAAGAAAGAACTCTTGAGAACTTTTTACCCAGATCCAGTGTTTATGGTTTACTTCACCTGACTCGACAATTAAACTTTCTATTTGTACACATGTAATTTTGTAAACACTGCTTTACCGCTAAATCTCCATTTGTTATTTCCTAAGTGCAAGGATGTTCTCTTTCATAACCATCGTGTAATTATCACAATTAGGAAACTGAACATTGACATAACACCGCTTTCTAACAACAAATTTAAACTGTTTTCCAATGACACCCTACATGTACACATCCCCCACTGCCCACTCCCCAAGCACACTGGGTTCTTTTTTTCTGGAACAACTCCTCTATCATTCATGATCTTGACATTTCTGAAAAATAACAGCCAATTGTTTTGTATGATATTGCTCAATGTGAATTTGTGTGTTTCTTCATGACTAGACTGAGGTTTTGTATTTTTGACAGGAATATCACAAAAATGATCCTGAGCCCTGGTGCATCGTGATTCGGAGACACGGTGCTGACTGCCCACCCCCGTGCGGCCTCTGAGTATGGCGTGAGGCAGCATTGCGCCAGGTCTCCTGCTGTAATGTCGCCACCTTCAATGACAAGTGCTTGTGAGAAGCTTGAGGCTATGTAAAGATTCTGCTTCCTGCCAAGTTCTTACCCAGCTGTCTCGGCAGCAGATTCTTGCCCTGACCAACTGCCACAGGATGCGGCCCCCAGGACTTTCTTCACTCGTCATGATTGTACCAGTCGACATCGTACTGTGAGACCGCTTTCCTTAAAAAACACTTAGCTAAGGTTGCATGTTCAGATTTTAAATGGACTTTTGATTATATTATTTGTCACAAGTGTTTACAGAATCATCTGTGAGTATATAGCTTTCATGCTATGGTGTGGAATGAGATATCGATCTTTCTATTGTCATTTTGAAATCCTAAATTTAATTGCTTATTAATGCACATGAACTTTATTAATGCATCCCCAAGAGATAATTATTAATAATAAGCTATTGTCCAAAAGGATAGAAACAGATCAGAAAAAAAAAAAATACTTAGCTAAGGGTCCTCCCAGGTGGTGCAGCAGGTTAAAACACAGCACTGAAAAGCTAAAGCCACTTCAGCATGAGTTCGATCCCTGCCCAAGAGGTGACCACAGGGCGCGGCAGACCTCTTCTGACCTGCCCGCTGCTCCCCTCAGCAGTGGACTTAATGAGTTGGCCTGTTCTGCTCCCCACTCTGTCTCTGGTGACTCCTCTCAGCGCTCCTGCACCTCTGGCCTATACCCCAGCTCTGTATGCATAAATAAATAAATCTTTAAAAAAAAATTAGTTAAAAAAATTGCTCAGTTACTAATCTTTGTTGACTCATGGATATTTTGTCCCATAGGTTACAATCTTTTACTGTATCACTATTCTGAAGCTTTCATTATCCCAGATTTGGCTAGTGGGAACCCTGTCAAGTTGGTTCTTTTTGAAATATTGCAATAATTTTGGGAACGCATTTTATATCCTGCAAGAGAAAATGACCCAGTCTCATCTTCCACTCTCTCGAGGGACCTGCTTCCTTTACTGGTGGACAGTATTTATATCTGGGTGCTGGGTCCAGTATCATCAGGGTGTCATTGCTCCTAAGTTTTCTCAGCAGACATACACACTTGACCACACACACATATCATAAGAAAATAAAATGAACCATGAACTCAGATGATTTCCCTATTCTACGTAAAACCACCAGGGTCATTTTAGTCTGCCCCTTCTTCCTAACTCCTACTTCCTACAGTGAGAGAAAAGGCTCCCCTATCTTTAGTATGGCTCATTACTCATTGGCTCAGTCTTAGAAAAAACAATTTGAGAACTGTTAAGTCGACACCATGCTGAGAGAAAGCCCTAAAACTAGAATTCAGTGTTAGTTCAAGCTCGCTCAACCTTTAAACTACAAGTACAGCCCAGGGTACCCGGCTCAGGCTTTGCCCCTTCCCTGTGTCGCTTACTCCTGTGACAGGGTCTCTCTGTCTGTGCTCCATTCTGAGTTCACCTGGATCTGGGGCAATGAACACTGAGAAACACCACTCCTCTCTCCTCCCCACTCTCACCCAGGCCTAGTTAGGTACCTGGGTTAGCCTTCCTGTGTTAATTATTAAAAAACTGAGTAGACACGGCTCTCCCTGGTGGCGCAGCGGGTTAAAGCCCAGCACTGAGAAGCTAAAGCCACTTCCGCATGAGTTCGATCCCCGCCTGCCCCGGGGGTGACCACACGGCGCGGCAGACCTCTCCTGACCCGCCCGCTGCTCCCCTCAGCAGTGTACTTCGTAGATCTGCCTGTTCTGCTCCCCACTCTGTCTCTGGCGAATCCTCTCACCCTCTGCATCTCTGGCCTGTACCCCAGTTCTATATGAATAAATAAAGCTTAAAAAAAAACCAAAAAACAACTGAGTAGACACATGTGGATTTCATTTCTGCTTATTTTTGTTTGCCCCAAAGATAACATATTATATATTTTTGTGCAGTTTCCTTTTTTCACTTAATATATAGCCTATCAATCACTTCACTATCGGTAACACCCTTACAGCAGCATGTACTCTATTGTGTGGCCACATCGTAATTTATTTAGCTAATTGTGTGTATGGGCATTTAACTGTTTTCTAATACTTTGCAATTATCAATATTACAATGAACATCCTTGCCTCAATACTTAACAAAATTTAGTTGAATTTAGTAAGTATTGAAAAGCACAAAAATCATAAAGTATATGTGTCAAAACATTTTCACAATCAAACATGTCAGAGAAATTTAAGAAATAGAGTATTACCAGTCTTTCAACAGACCTTCCTTTCAAGTGTAACACACTATGGGTCACCACCATCCTGACTTCCAGTATCATGGATTAGCTTTTGGTGGCTTTGAGTTGTATATAAATGAGATGATGCACTATATATTCTTTTGTGCCTAATTTTATTGATGACTTTATGCACGGCATGGCATATAATTACATTCATTCCTTCCTATGTCTGAGTAGTATTCCACTGTGTAATTATATGAGCATTTATTGATGCATTCTAGTATTAAGGGGCATTTGGGTAATTACTAATTTGGAGCTGTAATCAGCATGATCCTATGAATATTCTATTCTGTGTCTACACATTTACCTATCTATTTGGTACACAGGTTCTTGGCTATGTTCACGGTTTGAAACCAATTATTTATTTCCACAGAAGTTTTGTAAAAGTGGAGCTATTTAACTTCACTAGAAAATAAGCATATTGTCAGCGGACACACACGAGTGTGACATCACACCACAGACTGAGAAGCTGCCCACTCGTGTGTGGGTCCGCAGCTTTGTTAGCTTGGTCCTGTCCGCTGGGTTTGCTCCTCTCTCGGATCGCTGCTGGTCTGCACAGAGAAATCTATTTGCTAGGATGACACATGTTGCTATATAAGGGACAACAAAATACAAAAATAATGGATAACTAGAGGAATGATTAAAGTATACTCAGTTTAGTTATAGATAACCAAGTTCATTCCTCTCGGTTTCAATTCCAGCGAATTGAAGGCATCACTTGTGAAAGATCTTGGGGACATCTCTTTCTACGGGACTAGTTTCATGAAAGTCTATCTAAGACTCTCACATCACAAATAGAGGAGGCTTACTGGAAACACGAAGCCACTGAAGAATGCATATGAAGAATGCATATGTGGGCGTATTTTAACTTAATCTCAATCACTTGAATTCTTACCTTCTAGAAAGAAACTCAAAGTTTAGCAGAAATTGGTGAACCACTTTTACATGCATAATTAATGTGCATCACAATGCTAATGATGACTCAAGGATCTGTGAGTACACAAGCACCCCATGAGCTGTGTGTTGGAAGTTCAAGCTTGCATAATTGTCATGTAAAACTTAAAGAAGGAGGAAACAAATTGTATACACAGCACAATCATAATTTTGTGAGAAAAAGCGCATTTAAAAAAGAGTAAGAAGAAACCAGAATGTAGTCTCTAGAAAAACAGAATTAAGAGTAATTTTTTTCTGAATGCTACATCATTTTGTAATTCAAACAAAAAATCCAACAGGCTAGCTATCTCACTGTGTATGAGCTTTCTTCGACAGCGATGCTGTACGGGTATGTAACATGTGGCTCTGCTAAAGTACCTGGTAGGGATTTAGGTAGGTCACATTCTCTAACATGTGAAGGTGACAATCCAGGCTTCAAATCAAACAGTGGAGGCAAAGCTCCTGGGGGGAAATTCATGCAAATTACCTCATAGCAGTACTGCTGGACTTTATGTAAAACTTTGTTTAAGTCCTTGTTCAGCTGTTCAAGCTCTAGAACAATTGTTGCGTATCTCCGCTGAAATTCAATGCTGATGGGCATGGAATATGATTTCTGAGAAGGAAAAAAAACAGATTTTCATCAGGGTTTTTTTTTTTTTTTTGGAGCAGTAAAATTTCAGTTATCTAATAATTTCAGTTATCCAAAACAAACTAAAGATTATTAAGATTGTTACACTTTTTTTTTTTTTTAAGACCATTTTTGTATGAAAATGGTCTTACTGGCAGCCATCCTCTACCCACCTGTGACTATGCAGGTGCTTCTTTCTACCCACCCTCTCCTTCTGCAGGGCAGCTGCCTCCTCCTGCCCGTGACCTACACACCTGGGCTCCTCGGCACTGACCTCCCTCAGCAGAGGCCGCTCTCCTAAGGCCGCCCACCTGCGACATGCAGGCCTCTCAACAAACTTCCCCTTTCAGGGCAGCTCTTCCTGCCCGCTTGTGCCTACGCCAAGTGTCCTTTGCTCCTCTGTCCTTTTCCCTAATAAGCCTGCTCTTTAAAAAAAGAAAATGGTCTTATTGAGAAGCTCGTTCTATAAACAGTGTCATGATTTCTGCCACTTGCTTTTTTCAAAAAGGAGCTCGTGGATAAATCAAATGAAATAAAACTGGTGAATCTACATACATATTCCTTAACCAGTCTATAAATTTCTTAGTTTTCAAAATAAAAAGTTGGTAAAAAATGACATGAACTCATTTCTGGTGTTCAAGTTATTTAAACTCAACTGATTCTCCATCTGGAATCAAGTCAATGTAACAATGATTAAGAGCACAGGTGTTTGAATCAGGTCATGGATGTTCACATCCCAATGTCACCACTGCCTGGCTTGTGAGAGTTTAAGCAACCCGTGAGGCTGCGAGGCTGTCTCTGGGCTCAGCCTCCGCATGTGCCAACGGGACCTAAGAAGAGTGACTCCTAACAGGGCTTCCCAAAGGTTAGACGAAGTAGTGTATGCTTGCACACTGCTTCCTGCATTTTTTCTTTCAAAGATTTACTTACTTGTGCACACAAGAACTGGGGTACAGGCCAGAGGTGGCGGGGAGGGGATGAGAGGATTCACCAGAGACAGAGTGGGGAGCAGAACAGCTGGGTCTATGAAGTACACTGCTGAGGGGAGCAGCGGGGAGACAGGCAGGGTCTGCTGTGCCCTGTGGTCACTCCCTGGCCGGGGATTGAACTTGTGCTGTAGGGGCTACTGACAGCTTGACAGTGCAGTGCTTAACCCTTTGTACCACCAGTAAAAAAGTTTAACACCGAAGGAGAAGAGTACACAACATATAAGTGTGCCATTCAATTATAATAAATACCTGTGTAAAAATAATAGTTCCTAAAAGTTTAAACACAGGGCCCCTCCCTGGTGGTGCAACCAGTAAAACACAGCACTACGAAGCGTCCGCAGCCCCTGCACATGAGTTCAATTTTCCACCAGGGAGTGACCCGCGCATGGCACAGCAGGCCTCTCCTGACCCGCCCGCTGCTCCCCTCAGCAGTGATTTCACTCGATCTGCCTGTTCCGCTTCCCACTCTGCCTCTGGGGAATCCTTTCACTGCCCTCACACCTCTGGCCTGTACCCCAGTTCTGTATGAATAATAAATCTAAAAAAAAAGTTTTAAAACAACATGACAGTACAGGCACGTGACAGAAAAATCCATGTGCTAAACAAACACAGCACATGCTAAACTGAAAAATACTTACCCGGGGAGAGACGTAAAGATGACTATTCTCATTAAAGTTTACAATATTTTGATTAGTAGGAATTATTTTAATAGTAAATAAAATAAAACATAATAAACTACACCATGCCAACTAGATTTCTACAATTTTTACATGCCAAGGCAACATCAGATTTCAAAGGTTTGCTTTGTCTCTTCCTTTGTTTTCTTTATATTCTACATGAGTAAAATCATCTGGTATTTTCTTTCTCCTGCTGACTTATTTCACTTAGGACTGCTGTATCCCTCTGGTTTCACCATGTAGTCACAAACGGCTAAGTGAAATCTGACTGCAGAGCTGAGACTTCCAGAAGGGGAGAGCTGAGGTGTGAGAAGCACTGCAGGGAGAGAATTCACGGACTATCGGCAGAGCATCTTGGGTGCTTTGCAGGGGATGTTGCCTGGTAACATGTGTCTGAAGAGGTGTGTGTGGCCCTATTCTCTAAATCGTATTCATGTGTAAACCTGTTACCTGAGTAAAAACGGATATAATTAAAAAATAAAAAACAACCCATACACAGTGCTATGAACCCAGTCTTATCTCATTAAATAATTTTTATTAATATAAATTAAATATAAAGTAGGTTAAGAGTACTAGGCTAAGGCATTACTTTGTTAATTTACTTAGCATGTATTTGGTAAATAGACAGTAAATGAGGAGTTAAAAATAATATTCATGTCAATGTTTTCTCCCATAAAATATTTAATTCCTTAGATATGTATACCCTATTTTAGAACTGTAGAAAGGAAAATGAAAAACAAATCCTTACCAATTTTTCTGCTTCTGTGTTCATTTCTCTTAATTTCTTGATATGTTCCTTTTTAATCATGAGAATTTTTGATAACCTAGTCTAGAGACAAAGAAGAAAGATGTTTTGGAATAAACAGAGGCATTCAAGTATATCAGACATCAAATTTCAAAATTTTCACTGATATTTTAGCAACAGATTTCAGTGTTTCAATATAAATATAGCACAGACATTTTATAAGTATGATTGACTGACGAAAAAACATTTTTTAAAAACCCACTGCAACCAGGACATGCTAAAAGGACTGAGAAGTCAATCTAAGAAGTTGGGGGTTTTCCCCTTGTAGAACTGGGGTATAGACCAAAGGTGAGGGAAATGAAAGGACTCCCCAGAGGCAGAGTGGGGAGCAGAACAGGCCGACTGACTGAAACACACTGCTGAGGGGGCAGCGGGGAGATAGGAGGGGTCTGCCGCGCCCTGGGGGTCACTCTCTAACTGGGCTGGAACTCAGTGACAGGACTGAGACTGAACCCCTAGGCCACCAGGGAGGCCCAATCCGAGTAAGTTTTCATTGTCCCAAATGGGACTATTCATGCCCCAGTAAGAAAAATACCTGCAACAAATGAAAACACAAGTGATCCAAAAGGGGTTTAGAAACAGGGCTGCCAGCTGTCGCCTGTCCGGGCCGGGCGGCGGCCCCCGGGCGCATCGCAGGCGCTCGGGCTCTGAGCTCCGCCCCGCTCCACGCAGTCCTGGCTGGTGCCAGCACAGCGGCACGCACGCTGGCTTGCTCAGGCCTCTGCTCATTGCCCGTAGGGTCTAATAAACACATGACATGAGTTTTTAAACAATCAAGACGTTCAGAGCAACTCTTACCACTTGGATAAGGAATTCTACTGGAAAACCACCTAGCGTTTCGGTATCAGAGCCAGCAAGTTTACTTCTCCAAGGTGACTGTCCTAGTAATGGATCATTGTCCTATGGGAATGAAAAGGAATCATTTTAACCACTGGCTGTTCCAAAGAAAGTATCTTACTTCTAAATAAAGAGCAAATCCTATTATAACTAAACATACTTCAAAAAGGAAAATATTTCCAGAATGGAAGCACCTTTTCACTTACTTAACATTTAATAACTGAAAATAACGTATCACTGCAGCTGCTATAGTAGATGTATGTATATTTTATAAGAGTACAGTTCCCATTTAGAATAATTATTCCAATGACTGATGAAATTTACACACTGTCACTTACTGTCACTGGGGACTGGAGAGGAGGTGTATAATGTAACCGGGGCGGAGTCATGAAGAAGCGAGAAGGCCGCTGTTTCTGTCCAAAGGCAGCGATTGGCATCGTCTCATGAGGCTCATTGCTCTTAGGAAAAAGAGAGTGAGGAAAAAGAGAGTGACCCACAAGACTTGAATGACTCTACTTCTTATGAACATGGCACTTCAGCTGGAGATAAGCACTGACTCAGGGTTCATCACAGAATAGATGAAAGGACTAGAACTCAGGACACACTATAAAGATAGGACTTTGCTACTAAAGGGACAGACCCACAAAATAGAAAGACTCAAAAGATCAAAAATAGTTAAGAGGTTCAAAGATTAATATTAAAATGCTCTCTCTATATAAAATATTTAATATTAAAATATAAAAATGATCACCTTTATCTATCTGGTAAAGACTATTTGAATATTATCTTCTGTAGTCAAAGTCAACTGTTACCTCACCAAGGAGAACTATCTGGGTAATTTCTTAAAAGAAATTACATTAAAGAAGCAAAAAACAATTTTCCTTTTTTGAAAGGGGAGGTTTAAAGAAAGGTTCATTCCTTAATGAAAAAACTTAGTATTGGTATACTTTGCTCTATATTTAGTTCAAATTTCTTTTTCCCATGTTCCTCCTCTTTAAAGTGCTAAATTTGATAAGGAAACTCAGAAAAAGCAACAGGGCCACAATCTTTAAACAGCGTGGGTCAGGAGCTGCTCAGTAGTGTTAGCCCTCTCCTGTGTTATCAATAAACTTCTTTTGGATTTTTCTTTTACCAAAAAGAAAAAAAGAGGAGATATATAAGAAAAGGAAGATTTTTCTTTTCCTGGGTTAAATAAACTTTGATTTTTAGTTACAGTTCATAATCCTTTAAAAAATCAGGTTTATAACAAAAAATGAAAAAGGATGGTTAAAGGTGAACAACTGAATTTCCATTTCTGTAAGTTCATATTCACTTTTTAAAACTTTATTAAATATTTCAGAATATCCAGTCTTAAAATTATTTTAACTAATTAGAAAGACACATAATTTCCATGAAAGTGCTAAATGAAACGTGATCATGAAACAATGGTCCTGTTTTAATATCAGAAGATATCAGAAAATCAAAGGTCTGAATTATAGTCTCAGCTTGGTAGGAAACCAGCTCTAAAGTCTTGAAGTCACTTAGTACACCAAAGTTCAGCTTTCTCATGCAAAAGTAGGGCTAATTAATACCTACCCTGCACAATTATTAAACAAAATAGAAAAAAATTGTATGTCACTTTAAACAAGATTGTTTTATTTATGCATACAAGAACTGGGGTACAGGCCAGAGGTATGGGGGGGTGAGAGGATTCACTGGAGACAAATGGGGAACAGAACAAGTGAGTTGACTGAAATACACTGCTGAGGCGAGACAGGAGAGGGCTGCTGCGCCCTGTGGGTCCCTCCCTGGCTGGGGACTGAACTCGTGCTGCGGGGGCTGATGGCTTCCAAGTGCTGCGCTTAACCCCTTGCGCTATCAGGAAGGCCGCAAGAACAAATTATCAAGTGCAAGATGTCACTTCCTATTTGAAAATCACTTGTAACAAGAGAACTATTTTGGAAGTGTTGCCTTGTACAGCTATTCCCCAAGATCGTTAGGCTAGAAACAATTAGTTCTGTCACCTTGAAGTGCTGTGTGAGTAAGGTAAAACAGAGGGAGTCTAGATTCTGGAAAATGTGTAAGAGCCAGTACAGTCTGCGCTTGGACTAGTAGGCAGGGCTTGGAACCCATGAGGATCACCTCCTCTGTGCCCTCAAATCTTTGATTGTCATAAAATATGAACTCTAAGAGAACTCCACAATACATACTGAATAGGTATGACACACAAACGTATTAGCAATACTACTTACAAGAACCTCATAGTCAGGGATGGTGTGGGTCCCAAGTCCTGTCCTGTCAAAAGTTACTCTATAGGTAGCATTAAGAGTATCCACAGCATCTATCTGTCCAGTGAACAGACCATCATGCACACCACGTAATCGCGCTATGGAAAAGAAATAAAAAGGAGTGTGACATCTGGGTGATACGAACAATTGTCAAGCATAAAGCTTCTCCAAGCATGTAATTTGAAACTTAGAAAAGTACAGTACTGGCATTTAATATAATTTCCAAAAAAGCACACTTTATTCTTGACACATGAAGTCACATATCTACCAAACTAAGAGAAACTACTTTTAAATCGCTGCTTAAAACCCCACATTGCTAAAAAATAAGTGAACAAAGGAATTTTGGTAGTTACATTCTGGAGTGAAACACTAGGTGCAGCTCAGCAGCCTCCCAAGGAGGCTGGTCAATAGAGAAGGAGGCCGTGCCGAAGAGCGCTTCCCTCAAAGGCACCTGCCTGCAGGGTTGGCAACTGGGACTTGCCTCGGAGAGACACCCCGTAACACTGCACGAGCACCCTGCACTGATGTGGTCACCATGCCTGCCCGCGCTGTCCGTGAGTACAGTGTGCTTTATGATGGACACCTGCCCTCTGGGGAGCTGGAATCTAAGTGGAAGATGCCTGTGTGATCAGACCCCGATAAAAATCTCAGGCACTGAGTAAGCTTCCTTGGTAGTACAATTACAACTTGTTGCAGGAAAAGTGAAGCAAGTCTTGTGTGACATAACAGGGAGGAGACTTGGAATTTTGCAACAAGTTGTTTCTGGACTTGAGATTTCTTTGCTAAGTTTTGCTTTGTGGGCTTCTCTGTGTAACGTGGTGGCCATGTGCACACTACTCTGTGCTGGGTACTTGAATCTTTCTAATTAACGAGGCTTCCTAATTAATCACCAACCTGGGGGTGGTCTTGGGGACCCTCACACAGATGAATTCTTGTGTCACTATTATTTAAATCCAGTTTGAGCATCAGGAAAATCCTAGCAAACATCCAACATGAGCAAAAAATATAAGAACAATGGCATTTTTAAAAACATTAACTAGGAAAAGTGACATATTTCATATGGGGGGGAAAAGCCGAATACACAATATTATATTAACAGAATACACATTCAATGTAAAATTGTTTAAAAGATCTAGTTGCTTAAAATACAATTGGATGGGATTAAAATGACATTCTCAGTCTTTGAAAGGTCAATTAAGGAAGAAGTAAACAAGATTACAGAAGATATGAGTAATAATATTGAATAAATAAGTATAAGAATAGAAAAGGACTTCTAGTTACGGCAGTGTGAACAAGTTGACAATTCTTTCCTATAAAAGACAAGATTGTCAAAGAAAGAACAGGGACCAAATCAGAAAACAAGCAATGTTTACTGCTGAAAAACTGACAGAGTTTCAGGTAAGGACAAGGGAAGTCAGCTGAGACATTTACACTCCCACCACCACCACAGCTGGATGGGCCACAATGGTTCTGCTGAGGTAGCCTGGTCATGAAGACCAGCAGGGCCACCAGGTGAGCCTCCGTGGCCCACACGATGAACCCCGCAGCTCCTAAGCCGGCAGGCCGCTCTGCAGCGCTGGCTGCGCAGGCAGCAGGCAAGGCGAGATCTCAGGGGAATCTCGGGAACCAGGGCGCGCGAAGGGCAGCAATAGCGCTCCGTAAAGGCGCGGCTGGCTGGGAGACACGCGAAGGGGCGGGAGTGTGCTAGGAGAATCGGCCAAAGGTGAAAATGGAAGACCTGCGCGCGTGATTCCCAGCCTCCACGCAGGCCTTTCTGGATGGTGCTATTGAGAACAGCCTCTGCTAAAGCCTACGCAGACAGGAGCAGACCTGGAAGCCAAGCTTGAAAACAGCACTAACTAAGCAGAGACAGAAGTGGCTACAAAGGCAAGTTACTCAAGCAAACTAACAACTCAAAAAGTCAGAGCACAGTTACTTCAGTGCATTATCTAAAATATCCAACTTCCAAGGTAAACGTCTTTGGAAACACACATAGGACAGTACTTAAGACAAAGCGTATGCTAGGTCATAAAACAAGTCTCAATAACTTTGAGTCAAGAAAACAAATATTTCCACATTTTAAGAGAGTATCTTGACTGTGACCATTCCAGAGCGCACTGCCATGCCGCTGTAACTCCTCAGTTACGCATGTGGCTGGGCGCTCAGCAGCTCTGTCACCCACACACCTTCGGGAAGCTAGCTGTTCAGATCTTCCCCCAGTTTTTAATCAGTTCTTACTTTTCCTACTGTTGAGTTTTAAAAGTTCTTTGTAAACCTTGGATAACAGAATTTTTTAAAAAAAGATTTATTTATTTATGCATACAAGAGTGGGGGTGTAGGCCAGAGATGTGGGGGTGAGAGGATCCACATAGACAGAGTGGGGAGCAGAATAGGCCAATCTGCTGAGGGGAGAAGAGGGGAGACAGGAGAGGTCTGCTGCGCCATGTGGGTCACTTCCCTGGCCGGGAATCGAACTCGTGCTGCAGTGGCTGCAGACAGCCTCACAGTGTTTTGTCTTAACCTGTTGTGCCCAACAGAAAATTTTTTAACTCAGATACATCATTTGCAATTATTGCTCCCAGTCTATCTTCTCATTTGCATTCAAAGATTTTATTGTGGCAAAATACACCAAAAAATGATCAAATTAATTATTTTAAGCATACAGTTCAAAAGTATTAAATATTCCTAATGTACAAGGATCACTCACATCCAGAATTCTTTTATCTTGTAAAATTAAAACTCTATACCCATTACATAATAACGACCCATCCCTCCCCCCATCCCTGACAACCACCATTCTACTTTCTGTCTCTATGATTATGACTATTTTAGGCAGTTCTAAGTTCTAAGTAAGTGGAAGCACGAAACATTCACCTTCTGCGACTGGCTTATTTCATTTAGCATGATGCCCTCAAAGTCCATCCCTGTTGTCACAAATGATAGGATTTCTTTCTTTTATATGGCAGAATTAATAGTCCTTTGCAAATATATAGCACATTTTCTTTAACCATTCATCTGTCAGTGAACAGTTGTTTCCATATTGTGGCTTTTGTAAGAATGCTGCAAGGAGCATGGAGGTGCAGAAATCGTTTGAAATAGTGAATTCATTTCCTTTGGATAAGGACGCAGGAGTGCAATTACTGGATCACAGAGTATTCAATTTTCAATTTTTTGCAGAACGTCCATTACAGTGTTTGCTACAGGGCCACACCAATGTATGGAATACACTCCCACCAATAGTGCATCCAGTGTACCCTTCACTCACACCCTTGCCAACTCTTATTACTTACTGTCGTGCTTATAAATCACCACCCTAACTTTGTGAGATGACATATTATTGTGGTTTGGGTTTGCATTTTCCAGATGCTTAGTAATGTTGAACACTTTTATATTTTCTTTGGAAATGTCTATTCGGGTTCTTTGCCCCATTTTCCAATTGGCTCATTAAGGTTTACTTGCTTGAGTTATATCAGCTCCTTGTATGTTTTGGGTATTCACTCCTTTCAGATACAGGATTTGCAAATATCTTCTCCCATTATGTAGGTTTCCTTTCCATTTTAACGAGTTTCTTCTGTTGTGCAGAAACTTTTTAGTTTGCTGTTTCTCCTTGTGTTTTCTTCCATAGAGTTCGTTAGTTTTCTTTAAGTCTTTAATCCTCTTTGAGTTAATTTTCGTGAATGACTTAAGACAGGAGTGCAATTTATTCTTTTTCATGTGGAGACCTAATTTTCCCAGCACCATTTAATGAAGAGACTATCTCCTCCCTACCCCTGCCACTGAATATTGTCGTTGCCCTGTCATATATCAGCTGATCCTCTATGCAAGGATTTATTTCTGGGTCCTCAGTTTTGTTCCACTGGTCTCTGATCTGTTTTCATGGCCACACTGTTCTAGTTACTACAGATAAGTGTAGTAAGTACCACCAGCTTTGGCCAGCTTTAGTCATCCTTCTTAAGATTACTATTCAGGTAATTTTGTTCCACATGAATTTTAAGATTGTTTTTGTTTCTATAGAAAAATGCCACTGGCATTTTATAGCAACTTTAACAATATTAAACATTCCAATCCACAAACACAAACTATCTTCCATTTATCTTTCTTCTTAATGTCTTAGTTTTCAGTGTACAGATCTTTAACCTTCCTGATCACATTTATTCTCTGTATTTTAGTGGTTTTGATGCTATCATGAAAGTTTTCTTGTTCACATTATTTTGTTAGTACATAGAAACACTGATTTTGTATGTTGATTTTGTATCCTGCAACTTTATCATCTACCTTTCCTCTTCAATATAATGAAAACAGGTATCACTTTTATAAACAGGTAAAATGATATAAATATGTAAATCAAAGTTGACTTTCTCCCAGAAAATATTTCCTGATTAAACCAACGATTTCCAAACCTTTTAGTATAATGACTAACCTATTCACTTAATACCTTATTATCTTATATTATACAAATTGTAACTTTACCAAGTTATTAAGGATTAACTTAAATTTGAGATTTTGGCAGTACCTTCCCTCTATGTTACAAATGAAATATAGATACAAACAACCACATATGCAAAATGAAAAAAGTTATACCTATGAAACTTTGAGCTTACACCTACTGAATAACTTCACTTTATGCAGTCATCAGGAATGGGGCCTAGATCACTGGTGTCTGTGGTGGTAGAGCGCTATCAAGCAAGCAGCAACAGGCCAGGAGGGACCATCGGGCGCAGCAGACCTCTCCTGTCTCCCCACTGCTCCCCTCAGTGTATTTCAGAGGATCTGCCTGCTCTGCTCCCCACTCTGACTCTGGTGAATCCTCTCACCGCCCCCCCACACTTCTGGCCTATATCCTAGTTCTTGTGTGCATAAATAAATAAATCTTAAAAAAAAAAGCACGAGATCACAGGATCAATAATCACAAGAATAGCAGTGTTGTGAATTAACCAGGTAAGTGCTTAGGCAAGGAAGACAATAATATGGAAGTAAAGGACAGAATAATTAAAAAAATAAAAATTTTAAACAATACATAGCTATACTTATTCCAGTGAATTCAAATTTAATTTTTGTGGCAGTTTGCTTTAGTTTGTATTGTTGTAGACACTAACAAGTAAGCAATACTTTTTTACTTTAGAAAACAGACTTCACACATGAAGAAAATAGTAACCTTTTCATTATATTGCTGTAGAGCTATTGTTTAAGCTTTCTAAATTTAAAAGTCATTTCTCTAATAGGAATTATCTTGATGAAGAACTACAAATAAAAACAGTACTTAGCTTGTCTTCATTTACCTGTAACTTTGGTTCCAATAACCAGGGGCAAAGGAATTTCATCTGGGAGATCTTTAAATTGTGAAACATCCGCAACTTTCCTTTGTTGTAAGAGCCTTATTTTCTGTCGCTTCTGTTTTAATGCTGATCTTTCTTCCTCAAAAAATGCAGAAGAACATCTAGGATAAATTATAAAAACCATATAACCAATAACTATCCCACAGAAGACTTCAAATAAGATTATCCATCTTGGCCTCCCCAGTGGCCTAGGGGTTAAGTCTCAGCACTATCATGCTCTAGGCCTGATTTTGATCTCCCCAAAGTGCAGCACACATTTCCTGTCTTGCTTTAGCAGGGTATGTCAGTCCATCTGCAAGGTTATCCATCTCACTGTTCCCTATTTTTCTCTTTTACTTTTTTGAGAACTGTATTTAAAAGTGGCTTCTTACAAATAATACTTATTGGGCCTCCCTGATGGCACAGAGATTTAAAATCTGAGAGCTATCAAGCTACCGCCAGCCACTGTGGCATGAGTTCAAACTTTGGCCAAGGAGCTGACTCACAGGGCGCAGCAGACCTCTCCTGTCTCCCCGCTGCTCCCTTCAGCAGAGTGTTTCAGTCCATCTGCCTGTTCTGCTCCCCACTCTGTCTCTGGGGAGTCCTCTCACACCTGCACCTGTGGCCTGCATCCCAGTTCCTGTGTGCATAAATAAGACTAAATCTCCTTTAAAAAGAGAAATAGTTTATCTTTCAAGTAAATTACCTTCTTCTTAAAGTACTTGGTGAGACTCGAAGATATATAAGCAAATCGAGATTATTCCTTCCTATAAACTGAAGGATTTATCATCCATTAACAGAACTGTATCTGGAACCAAGGTCTCCACTGAAAAATAAAGTTCACTTTATCCAGAAGAACACAAAGTTCCTGAATGACCATATTATCACCATAGGAGTTAAGAGGTGAGAACTGCCTTTGTTTATGTGAACTTTGAATACTGAATTTACTTAGACCTTTTGAGCCGTTTTATTTCTAGTTTTCGAATCTGGGATGAGTGTAAACTAAGCACAACTTTAATAACCATGAGACCATGACCACAGTCCACATAATATGACATATGAAGACAGCAATCACCTCCCCAAAGCTTCCTTTATTATGCTCCTTTGATCATTCCCACTTTTCCAACTTGCTAGCAATCACTGAGCTGCCTCCTATCACTAGTGTCTACTAAAACTTTATGACACTAGAACCATCTAGTATAACCATCCAGCATTCTTTTGTCAGGATCTTGTCACGCATGATAATTATTCTGAGAGTCATATATGTTGTGTGTATGAATGGCTTATCTCTTTACACAGGAGAACAACATTCTACTCTATGTATGTAGTAGGTTGAGGGTTTATAAATTTCATAGCTATTACTAAGTATCTAATTGAAACTACATAAATTTAATCTCTTACCACCAAGAATGACTGTTTTACCATATCATTACCAATTTTGTATTAAATTTTTGTGAACTTTGTCAATTTGATAGCCAAAAAAGTTTCCCAGCATACTTATATTTCTTATTATGACCAAGATGGAACTCTTCACATGTTCATAAGAACATCTTCTTTTTCCTTTCCTACGTACTGTGTTTATAATTATTTTTATTATGGGTTATTCAACTTCCCAAATAATTCATAGGTGTTTTTTACATAATAGGGAGTTAGCACTTTCTCTGTAATAATAGCTATAAATACTTCTGTCACTTTTCTTGGACTTTGCTTATGGATTTTGGTTGGGGGAGGATCAATGGAAATTAAAAAAAAATTAATTTATGCATACAAGAACTTGGGTATAGGGCAGAGGCACAGGCAGGTCAGAGAATTTACCAGAGACACAGTTGGGAAATAGAACAGGCAGGTCTACTGAAAAATACTGCTGAGGGGAGCAGCGGGTGAGACAGGCGAGGCCCCCTGTGCCATATGTGGGTCAGCTCCCTGGCTGGGGATTGGACTCGGGCCTTATTGGTGATAGCAATAATGCTGAAACTTAACTTACATCACCAGAGAGGCCTCTTAGTCCATTCTTAAGTATTTTTTGGACTGTAGTGGGGCATACATAAATAAATTATGTTTAAAAATTTGTGATCTGATATGTAACTATAAAAGCACCTACATTAAAGTTTGTTAACAGGATATATTTAACATAATTAATTATTCTGAAGTGATTTCTTGATACTAATCCTTTTGAAGATGGGGAAAAATGCAGTAACAATACTACTATTAATTCTAATAAAAATGAAAACATTATTTTTACCTCCGTGGTTTTCCCATAAGCCGCCTGATTTTTCCCCATTCTACCCTTGTTAACTTTCTTGTTTTCAAATTAGGAAAAGATTCCTTTAGGCATACACAAAAGTCATTATCACCTTCAAAAAGAGGCCTGTAAAACAGAAGTGATATTTTAATGATTAATACATAATGTGTGACTCAAGGGACATAAAATTCAAAATACATACACATTCTAGCTTTTAACATCATTCTAATCACAAAATGTCAAACTGCACTTCTACCCTGAAACAGGCACAGATTCACAGTCTCCCCCAAACTGTTGATAAATCATTAGAATTTGTGAAACAAATACTGTGCAAGTCACTCAGGAAGTATTGTCTGTGCTTGATCCTCCAGGAGGTGAAGGACACATCCTCTGGAGGCTACTTAGCACTGTCACTGTTTCTGTGGAGATAAATAATGCTACCTACAAGGTATTTTTGTCACCAAGGAGCCCTCTTTGAGATGAAATCAGTTAGAAAACTGGCGGTCTCCAGAGAGTTAGATTAGTTCTTAGAAATTCCAGAAAAATCAGATCATATCAGAATACTCTGAGAGCTCTACTCAGCCTATGGAAAACTTTGTTGACAACAATAATTTTATTCATGATTTAAGAAAACAACATATGAATGTCTTGGGATTAAATATGAATACACATGAGATTTACAAACTTCAGAGTAGTCAACCGGTTTGGAAAGCAGAGGAGGGAAGTAAATTTAAGCACCCAGCAAATTAAGTACTAATGACTGGCATGAATTAGATTAGATTAGGGTGAATTAGAAATCAGAATATTTCTTCAGTAAATTCTACTGTTGAATACTGGATTCATCCAAATCACTTGTTATGTTCTACTGAAACAATTATAACTAATGTGCATTAAGAACTATCCTTCAGATAGACTATATTCCTAAAAACCTTACTGATTCATTTTTACTATTAGTAACTCTCCATACTGCTATACCAGCATTCAAAACCCCAAGATTTACAAACAAGCCTCATTCACTGCAAATAATAACATTAATGGATACTTTTAAATTATGCAGAAACTATATTTTCATAATTTTTCCTGAAACATGTTTAACAATTTCTTCCTCAAAGGGAAGAAACTCTGAGAAATGGAAATGGATCAAACTAAACTGAGGAAAAGAAAAAGGAGTGCAGGGAAAAAACCAGAATCAGAAGAGAAATGTTGAAATAGAAATGTATGAAAACTTAAATTTATGGCAAGTGACAGTCATGATAAAAGCCATGATACATACTTATCTATATTTGAGTAGAACCACTCATATATACACCATTTATGTGCTTTGGGAAGCTTGAGTAGGTTACGTAACCGAAAACCAATCTTCTGTGAGGCTTTCTTATCTGGTGTTGACATTGTTGCCGTAAATTTCTACACAATAAAAAGAGACAATTACAATCCCATAAGTAAAAATAAACTTCTCTAAGACTGAAAAATTTGTAAAAGGACCAATTATAGTTATACATGCAAAAATATTCAACAAATATCTAACAGAATTCTTGATTATAGTTTAACAAGCAAACACTTGGATTATTTCTTACAATCAAAGCTTTCAGTTTTATAATATATTCTTTTTTTCCCTCACCTAGATCACCCATGTACTACAAAGGGTACCAGAAGGTACAAACCAACAGCCAGATAACGAGAAACATAGGGTGAGGCCCTAAACAAAGGAGCTTTTGTACTCATGAAGTTAGGGGTCCTTTGACAAAGCAGCAGGAGAAGGCACTCTGGTTCCCCAATCTGGAAGCTCTCCCTCATGACAACATTGTCTTTCTTGCCCTTCAGACAGGGAAAATGAAATATGTGCCCACAAGGTTTGCACTACAGTACAATTCAATTCCAAAAATCGGTGTACTGAAAAAGATACTTAGCAGAAACTGCCTTAAGAGTTCTTGGGCCACTTGAAGTTCCTGTAGAAGGAACACACCTTAACATAACAAAAGCCATAGACAACAAACCCACAGTTAGTAGTCTCAATGGAAAAGGTGAAAACATTTTCCTTAAGGCCTAGACCAAGACAAGGATATCCACTCTCATCACTGCACTTCAATGTAATATTGGAAGTCTTAGCCAGAGCAATTAAGACAAGAGAAAGTCATACAAGGACTCCAAATAGGGAAAGAAGTAAACCATCACTATTTGCAGACGATATGATAATATAAAGAGCCCTAAAAACTCCACAGAAAAACTAATCAAAATAATCAGTTTAGTAAAGTAGCAGGATACAAAACCAACACACAAAATTCAGTATCCTTCCTATATGCAAACAATCAATCTGAAGGAGAAATCAAGAAAGCCATCCTTTTTATAACTGAAATAAGAAAAAAAATCAGGTACTTGGGAATAAACCTAAAAAAAAAAAAAAAAGGAAAAAAAGAAACAGAACCAGATACACAGAAATCCTCTGCTTATGGACTGGAAGAATCAACATCATCAAAATGGCATCCTATCAACAGCAAGTTATATTCACTGCTATTCCAATGCAAATTTCAGTGACATTCTTCAAAGAAATAGAACAAATATTGGTGAAATTCATATGGAACCACAAAAACCTTGACTAGCCAAAGATCTTCTGAAAAATAAAAAAGAAAGAAAGTGGCGGTATCACACGCTCAGACTTCAAACTAGACTACAAATACGCAATAATTAAAGTTACTGCAACAAAAGCAGACCAACAAAATCAAATGGAAAACCCAAAAATAAACCCACATATTTAGGGATGATTCATCTTTGACAAGTGAGCAAAGACGATGCAATGGACAAAGGACAGTTTGTTCAATACATGGCGCTGGGAAAACCGGACTGCTGCATGCAAAAGAACGAAGCTAGACTGCTATGGCATAGCATGCACAAAAACCAGCTCAAAATGGATAAAGAAATGGACAGAGACCTGAAATCACAAAATATATAGAAGAAAATATAGGCAAAACACTACATGACATACATCACAGTAACATCGTTAAGACACAGCCCCCAAAGCAAAGGAAATGAAGGACAAGATGGACAGCTGACCACATCAAACTAAAAAGCTTCTGTCTGGCAAGAGACAGTAACCAAAACAGAGACACTCCACTGCTTGGGAGAGAAATTCTGCACACAATAGTACTGACAAGGGGTTAATTACAAACATCTATCAAGAACTGACACACAACAAAAACAAACTAAACAACCCAGTCTAAAAATGGGCAGATGAGCTACAACACTTCTCCAAAGCGGAAATGCAAATGGTCAATATGAACAAATGTTCAGCGTCACTTGCAGTCAGGGAAATGCAAATCAAAACCACAACGGGATCATCACTTCACTCTTGCAGAATGGCTATTATTAAAAAGACAAGAAATAGTAAGTTGTTGGTAAGGATGTTGAAAAAAGGAAACCTGTGATGAACTGTTGTGGGAACATAAATTAGTGCAAGTTACTATGAAAACTCTACAGAGTTTGTTAAAAAAATAAAAATAAGAGCCCTCCCTGGTGATGCAACAGGTTGAAGTGTACGACGAAGCCAGCCACAGCCACTCCGCCACAAGTTCAATTCCTGGCCAGGAAGGTGACCCCCTGGCGCGGCAGACCTCTGCCGTTCCACCTGCTGCTCCCCTCAGCAGTGCACTTCATAAATGTGCCTGTTCTGCTCCCGTGAATCCTCTCACCACCTCTCCCCTGTACCCCACTTCTGTATGCACCAATTTAAAAAAATTAAAAGTAGAGCTACCATATGCTGCAGTAATTCCATTTTAGGGTAGTTATCCAAAGAAAGTTAAAAAAAGTAACAAACATCTTGTACCCCTATTCATTATGACAGTATGTACAACAGCCAAAACACAGAAGCAACCTACATGTCCACTGACACATGAATGGATACAGAAAAGTGCATGTGTCTACAGATACAGTGGACTATGCAGTCATAAAAAGAAGGCAATCCTGCCATTTGAATACATGGCTGGACTCTGAGACCACAATGTTAAATCAAATAGAGAAAACACACACCTTTTGACTAACTTATATTGTAATCTAATTAAAAAAAAAACCTCAAAATTCTCAAATTCATATGTAAAGAGATTGATGGTTGCCAGAGTTGGGGGTACGGGGTGGCAGAGGTGGACAAAAGGGTCAAAAATACAAACTTCGGGTTACAAAATAAGTCACAGGGATGTAAAGTACATGTTGATTGTAGTTCACAATAATTATTGCATATTTGAAAGCTACTGAGAGCAGGTTCTCAGCCCCAACACACACACATCGTAACCATGATAACAGATGCTAACTGAGATTACTGTGGTGATCATTTTATAATATACAGGAATACTGAGTCATTATGTTGTACAACTGAAACTAACATAATGCTACATCAAATATATCTCAATTAAAAAAAGACTAAAACTAAGAAAGTTAGTAGATAAACACCAGCAGAACATGAAAAGAATGAACCAAGGGGAATTCATGGCATGAATACAATCGTGGGCCAGTATTAGGAAGCTACAAATATAATTTGCCATTATTAATAATCACATACACAAGAAAAAAAAACCATGTGATTATCTCCGCTGGTGCTAACAATATTTGATAAAATTCAATGTCCCTGGGGAAAAACTTTTAATAGGCGAAACCATCTTGAACTGTCGCTGTTGTTTCTGGAACGATTACTGTATCAAGAAAAGCAGACTTTACCAAAAACAGATCAACTTTTAAAGAATTCTTTCCAAGAATTTCCGATGTTCAATTTAGAAGAACAGCACTTAATTCCTGCATCCCCTGCACGTGGCGTATGACAGACGGCAGCAGGTCATTTACAGAAAAGCAACAGTGAGGCCAGCCCTGGGCCGCCAGGAGCAGCCCACAGCAGACGCCAAGCAGACAGAGTAACCACCGCAGTGGCCTTATTTCAAGCATTCTCTTCAGCCGTTTCTGAAAAGCACGTATGAGCGAGGGCAGCCAGGAAAAGCTATATGCTCCCAGGAAACCACGTAATTCAGTTGCAAGGATAGAGAAGACAATGCCATTTCAATTTAGTGTTGAAAGTAAGGGAGAGGCGTCCAGGCGTGCATGGCCAGCCTTGCTGCAGGTGCCCAGGGCGCCAATCCTGGGCGGGAGCCAGTCCCTCACTGCCCCCGGGAAACGCAGGCCCCTGGATCACGCGATAGATGGGTAAAATGACATGTTTCATTAAATTGTTGAATGCCTGCAACATTAAATTCATTATGTGTCATTAACAGGCTCTTCAAATACAAGAAAATGTTAATCACTGATAACTGTAAATGCTTTCCAGCCAGTTGGTTAATTTTTCCTAAGAGCATTGAAGATGTGAAGATTTAAAGATAAAATATCTGCTACAAGATACATTCAAAAAATTTTGGCTCCTTTAAGATGTCTATTTTAAAATATTTTTAAGAAAAACTTTAAGTGTGGACATTTTTATTCTAAGTTAAAAACTGCTTATTATGTGTAATAAGAAAATGTGTAAATCCTTATTACATTGAAATAAACCCTACTTTGAAAAATGTAGGTAAAAATGACTGAAAAATAAACTCAATGTACCACAAGTTAAATGATACTGAAAGAGTAATGCCTGCAGGAAATTTAATTTATAGAGAGAATGCCTAAATTAGAAATAAAAGACTGCAAATGACCTACGCTTCCACCTTCAGAAATAAGAGCAAAGAAAACCAAAAAGTAAGCAGAAAGAAGAAAATAGATCCTTTGAAAAGAAAAAACTGATTCAACAAAAACAAAGTAGACATCCCGACAAAAATGGGCAGAAGAGCTCAAGATACTTATCCAAAGAGGACATGCAAATGGCCAAGTGAAAAAATGTCCAGCATCCCTTATAATCAGGGAAATGCAACTCAGAGCTACAATGAGAAACCACCTTACAGCAGTAAGAATGGTACACGTTTAAAAAACCTACAACAACAAATGTTGGAGAGGATGTGGAGGAGAAGGAACTCTCCTGGCCCTCCCCAGTGGTGCAATGGATTAAAGTGCAGCACTATGAAGCTGTCGCAGCCACTAGATCTAACTGCGGCATGAGTTCGATCCCCAGGCAGGGAGCTGACCCATATGGCACAACAGCCCTGCCCTCTCCTGATCTGCCCTCTGGACCCCTCAGCAGTGTATTTCAGTCCATCTGCCTGTTCTGCTCCACACTCTGTCTCTGGTGAGTCCTCTCACCCGCTACACCTCTGGCCTGTGCCCCAGTTGTTTGCATAAATAAATAAATCTTAACAAAAAAAAAAAAAAAAAAAGGAACTCTCCTATACTGCCCGTGGGAATGCAAACTGGCCCACCCACTATAGAGAGCTGTGTGGAGGTTCCTCAAACTACTAAAATGGGAGCTTCCATATGACCCAGCAATTCTACTCCTAGGAATCGAT